TAGGGTTTAGGGTTTAGGGTTTAGGGTTTAGGGTTTAGGGTTTAGGGTTTAGGGTTTAGGGTTTAGGGTCACTGGAAGTCCGACAACCTCAAGCCCTGAACCCTAAACTGCATCATGGGAGCACTGCATGCTTTTTTCGAACTGGGTGGCCTTTCTCCAAACGGAGCCCTCGACGCATGAATTACAAGGCTTTAGGGTTTCGGGCTTAGGGATTCCTAACCCTAAACCCTAAACAGATGAGGGTTCCCTCATCTAGAACAACCCCCACTTGAAGCTCAGGGTCCCCTGGAACCGGCAAAGGCTGGCTATGAAACAGAGCCAGGTGAAACGCAAGGTGCGTTTTATCGCGCCGACGAAGCAGCAACGTCTTAAGATGAACGGGTTTGGATTGGAGCCTAAACACTAAGGCCTCAACCCTATATAAACCCTAAACCCTAACCCTAAACCCTAAACCCTAAACCCTAAACCCTAAACCCTAAACCCTAAACCCTAGAGAGCCTTAGTAGAGTGTCTAGCATGCCTTGGCCATGGCGCATGCTCTGCCGAACCTCCTCATCCGAGAGAAGCTCTGGACCTTGCGCGGGGGGTTTTTGGATGCACAGCCCCAAAAGCACATCCTGCCTGCCGCCAGAGTGCCAAAAAAAGAAACGCGTGCAATGGTTGCAAACTTGCAACTCTTCCGATGCTCTGCTTACGGACCTCCCATACTGGCAACACTCCCCATGGACGTTGTTGCTCCCGGTGACGCCAAAGCACGTCAACGACCCAAGGAGAATGTGAATGGCCTCCCCTGCCTGTGCTGCATCCTGCACGTCGAGTTAGGTACGTGTTTAGGGTTTAGGGTTTAGGGTTTAGGGCACATTCGCCATGGACACAGTCAAGGGCAGCCAGTAAGTTGCCAGAAGCATAGAAGTCCCACACCTGGCCGCCGGTGTGGAAGGAAGCATCTCAATTTGGCCTCTGCCTCCCTCTGGGTAGGGCGCATGCCTTCATAGCCCACCTAGGCAATCTACTTACTACATGATTCTCACCCCATGCTCCACAACGACTCCAAAGCATCTCAGAACGGTGCAAGTCAAAGGACTGTGAGAACATGTGACAACGACTGGCCTCTGGCTGCTTCCCAGCAGACACGTTGGCGCATAGCTCCGCTGTCATACGCCATGGCCACAGGCGCGTTGGCCTCAAGGGCAGCCAGTAACTTGAAGCATAGCAGCCCCACACCTGGCCACCGGTGTGGAGGGAAGCATCTCAATGTGGCCTCTGCCTCCCTCTGGGTAGGGCGATGCCTGCTTTCGTTCAGCACATGCCACTACCAACCCATGGCCCATCTAAAGTCTATCCCACCTATGATGCAGTCTACTTTTATGATTCTCAACTCATGCTCCACAGCGACGCCAAAGCACCTCACAACGACTGTGAGAACATGTGACAACGAATGGCCTCCCCTGTCTGAAATGCATTCCGCACGTGGGAGTATGTACGTGCTGGCTGCTTCCCAGCAGACACGTTGGCGCATAGCTCTGCTGTCATACGCCATGGCCACAGGCGCGTTGGCCTCAAGGGCAGCCAGTAACTTGAAGCATAGCAGCCCCACACCTGGCCACCGGTGTGGAGGGAAGCATCTCAATGTGGCCTCTGCCTCCCTCTGGGTAGGGCGATGCCTGCTTTCGTTCAGCACATGCCACTGCAAACACATGGCCCATCTAAAGTCTATCCCACCTATGATGCAGTCTACTTTTATGATTCTCAACTCATGCTCCACAGCGACGCCAAAGCACCTCACAACGACTGTGAGAGCATGTGACAACGAATGGCCTCCCCTGTCTGAAATGCATTCCGCACGTAGGAGTATGTACGTGCTGGCTGCTTCCCAGCAGACACGTTGGCGCATAGCTCTGCTGTCATACGCCATGGCCACAGGCGCGTTGGCCTCAAGGGCAGCCAGTAACTTGAAGCATAGCAGCCCCACACCTGGCCACCGGTGTGGAGGGAAGCATCTCAATGTGGCCTCTGCCTCCCTCTGGGTAGGGCGATGCCTGCTTTCGTTCAGCACATGCCACTGCAAACACATGGCCCATCTGAAGTCTATCCCACCTATGATGCAGTCTACTTTTATGATTCTCAACTCATGCTCCACAGCGACGCCAAAGCACCTCACAACGACTGTGAGAACATGTGACAACGAATGGCCTCCCCTGTCTGAAATGCATTCCGCACGTAGGAGTATGTACGTGCTGGCTGCTTCCCAGCAGACACGTTGGCGCATAGCTCTGCTGTCATACGCCATGGCCACAGGCGCGTTGGCCTCAAGGGCAGCCAGTAACTTGAAGCATAGCAGCCCCACACCTGGCCACCGGTGTGGAGGGAAGCATCTCAATGTGGCCTCTGCCTCCCTCTGGGTAGGGCGATGCCTGCTTTCGTTCAGCACATGCCACTGCCAACCCATGGCCATTATCCCACCTATGATGCAGTCTACTTTTATGATTCTCAACTCATGCTCCACAGCGACGCCAAAGCACCTGTGAGAACATGTGACAACGAATGGCCTCCCCTGTCTGAAATGCATTCCGCACGTGGGAGTATGTACGTGCTGGCTGCTTCCCAGCAGACACGTTGGCGCATAGCTCTGCTGTCATACGCCATGGCCGCAGGCGCGTTGGCCTCAAGGGCAGCCAGTAACTCGAAGCATAGCAGCCCCACACCTGGCCACCGCTGTGGAGGGAAGCATCTCAATGTGGCCTCTGCCTCCCTCTGGGTAGGGCGATGCCTGCTTTCGTTCAGCACATGCCACTGCCAACCCATGGCCCATCTAAAGTCTATCCCACCTATGATGCAGTCTACTTTTATGATTCTCAACTCATGCTCCACAGCGACGCCAAAGCACCTCACAACGACTGTGAGAACATGTGACAACGAATGGCCTCCCCTGTCTGAAATGCATTCCGCACGTGGGAGTATGTACGTGCTGGCTGCTTCCCAGCAGACACGTTGGCATGGCAGACTCCGCACGGTGGATTCCCTTCTGGGAGAAGGACTCTTGCATCGTGCTCCGAATCAAGTAAGAATGATCAGGACCCTTCCCCGTCTGGTCCTGCAAGGTTCCTGACACGGGCGTGAACGCGAGTGCAGACCTTGCCCTAAACCCTAAACCCTAAACCCTGAACCCCTAGTCTTCCGTCATGGACCACACCCACGGAACCGTTTCAGCTGGCTCCGATCTCCCTTCCCTCAGCTCCAAATTCTTGCAGGAAAAGGGCTTTGTGCATTCCCCGACAAGTTCTCGTGCTTGTGCTTGAAGTGGACAATGAGGCCTGCCCAGGCACTCTTGATAGATTTCTGTATACATATATATATATATATATGTCTCTCTCTCTATCTGCATCTATCACTGGTACAGCATAGATAGATAAATAGGTAGATATATAGATAGATATTCTGTCGGTTCATGTTAATTCTCCATCATGGTCCATGGCTCTTCATGTACAGTCAGGAACCCCCCCCTCCCCCCCCCCCCCCCCCCCCCCCCCCCCCCCCCCAAAAAAAAAAAAAAAAAAACGAAGGAGCTTACCTAAAGGCTCCAATGTTGTTGCTTTTTGGGCTTGTTGTAGGGGATTCTAGCAAGCTACCCCAAACAAAGGTGCTATGTATGGGAACCATGAGGTGAAGAACACTGACGCGATTCGGGGGCCCTAAACCCTAAACCCTAAACCCTAAACCCTAAACCCTAAACCCTAAACCCTAAACCCTAAACCCTAAACCCTAAACCCTAAACCCTAAACCCTAAACCCTAAACCCAAAAGCGCCCCTAACATCACAGGGGGTTAGGGAGTACCTTCTTGGGGTCCTTGTTGCAAGGAAGTCCTACTCTTTGGGGGTCTCTATTGGGGGTCGCCCCTATTTTCGTACACCCTCCGCATGGACTACATCTCCCTAGCGTGGCAACTCAGCCAAGCTCCTTCGCAACAAACCAGCACTTCCTTACAAACTTTCACGGCTCCTCCCGGGTAGGTAGACAATTCGCCTGGCGCGGGCCCCCCAAAAAGAGTATCCGCACACCCAAAAACCCCAAACCCTCAACCCTCTCGACCTGTCGCGAAGTCCTTTCTCGAAGGGACTCCGGGGCGGCGAGGGGCACGAAGTCGCACGAGTCCACGTAGCTCTTCTGCGAAGGCTATTGTTCACCTACTCTTTCTGCCGTGGTAAAGGACTCGACAGCGCTTAGGCCTCACAATCCGAGCCTGCTCCGGAATCATCCCGAGTCGAAGCACAGGTAAGGTTGGTGACGACTGCCGTGGTGGACTCATGCCTCAGCTCGCTCGGCAACGCCACAGAGAAAAAAATGCTACCCTGAACCCTACACCCTAAACCCTAAACCTTAAACCCTAAACCTTAAACCCTAAACCCTAAACCCTACTAAGGAAATCTATTCTGAAAGCATGTTCCCCATACAGCTAGCTCCTTCAGCAGACCGCTGGCAGGGCGCAGGGGCGATCCGTGGCAGCCAGGAACAACTGTTTAGGGTTTAGGGTTTAGGGTTTAGGGTTTAGGGTTTAGGGTTTAGGGTTTAGGGTTTAGGGTTTAGGGTTTAGGGTTTAGGGGACTTGCGAGGATTTGTGAAGCTGAGGCTACGACAACCTGGAGGACAGCAGCCTGGCTTTCTCAGCAAGAAGGCTTCAACCTCCCTCTACACCCTAAACCCTAAACCCTAAACCCTAAACCGGGTCCTTTTTTTGAATCTTGTGGGCGTGGCTGGTCTTCCCGCTACATGGCCAGCATCAAACAACCCACAAAACCCTCTGGACCCAGGAGTAACCTCGGAAGAAAAAGGGTGGCCTCCTTGGGGTTAGAGGGCCTTTTTCGAGGGAACCTGAACCCCAAACAAATAAGGGAATAAGGACCTACTCTGGGTCCTAGCCCTGCACCCTAAACCCTAAACCCTAATACCCCAAACCCTAAACCCCAAACCCCAAACCCTAAACCCTAAACCCTCCAGGCCTTCACTCTTGACGCCGGTGGATTTTGTCACGTGAGTCTGTTGCCGCTGTCGCCGGTCTGACCAGCTCCCCGGGCCAGGCGGCGAGGGCGCCACCATCCTGGAATCTTATCGGCTAGTTTAGGGTTTAGGGTTTAGGGTTTAGGGTTTAGGGTTTAGGGTTTAGGGTTTAGGGTTTAGGGTTTAGGGTTTAGGGTTTAGGGTTTAGGGTTTCGGGATTTCGGGGTTTCGGGGCTTAGGGTGCAAGAAAAACGGCTTTGAAAATCCCGCAAAAAGCTGCACGAATCTATGTTCCGGCCGCAGGCTGATATTGCATCCACCCGAAATCCTAAGGCAGGTGCCTCCTGCAATCTCACAACAAGCTGACAGTCCAATGATGGCTGCTCCAAAACCCTACCTAAGCTTTAAGCCCTAAAGCCTAAACCCTAAGCTTTAAGCCCTAAACCACTAAACATTTCTACTGTCAAGGAAGGCTCGAATCTACTCACTGGGGAGACCTCTGCCAACCCACAAGCATCCGTGAAACATGCTGAAACAAAACGTCTGGCGTGCAAACTAAAGACGGTAAATTAGTTCATGTCTTGTAGCCTTCATCAGAAGGATGAGGGCGTGCCTATATATATATATACACATATACATATACATATACATGTCGCACAATGTAAGTTTATCTGTGTTTCCAAAAGGTGCCATCAAAAAACAAAACGAACCTAAGCCTGCGTACTGGTTCCTCCCGGAGAGGAATTTTTATGGGCCATAGCGACTAAAATTCTTGTACTGCTAGTGGATTTGGGGTCGAGGGTTTAGGGTTTAGGGTTTAGGGTTCCTTTGATTGCAACAAAACTACCATGTTCGTACTATTGCGTGAATGTTAATGCTGATTATTGCCATGACTTTTCCTTTTGTTGTTCGCACTCCTAAAATAGTACTGTTCTTGCCATTGCTATTGTTCATACAACTCTTTATGATACTGGCTCTTGGTCGAGAAGTAGAGCTCTGGGTAAACAGGATGGCATAAGGAAACTGCCTAATTATTCCCAATTTCCGAAATCACATTCGCTTTCATTTCAGAACCTTGTCTACACAGTTCTAGTTTCAGTGCTTCCAGGAAAATGTAACCAACCACATGGGCAGATCTCTTGATGATGGTCGCGTTTGGGTTGTTCCAACACAGAGCCTTGTAGACTTCTAGGGTGCCCTAGCCCTCCCAAACCCTAAGCCCTAAACCCTAAAGCCTAAATTCTAAAACCCTATGAATCCTGAACACTTAAACCCAGACAGCCTTCGCGAACCTGCATGCAGGTAGATGCCTCCCCGAGCTAAACCCTACATTAGGCTTTACATTTTAGGCTTTACAGGGTTTAGGGTTTAGGGTTTGCGGTTTCGGGTTTAGGGTTTGGGGTTTAGGGTTTAGGGTTGAGGGCCACTACCCTTTTTTTCGATTAAACAAGGCCAAAAAAGGAGCTTTACCCCTGAAGGAAAGCAAAAAGGATCACTAGGACCCTTCTCCAAGGTCCAAGATCACGAGGTCTCCACTTCCCCAAACCCTAAACCCATTTGCAGGAGCAATACCTCTAAACCCTAAACCCTAAACCCTAAACCCTAAGGTCCTAAACCCTTTAGAGGGCCTGCCGAAGATCGACTTGGAGCCAGGCCGCCAAAGCAAAAGCGCTTGGATCCTCCGCCGAACTCCCTAAACTGACTCGTTCCACATAGGCAATTGCGAAACTAGGTAACCCTAAACCAAAACTTAAACCCTAAACCCTATACCTTAAACCCTAAACCCTAACCTAAACCCTAAACCCTAAACCCTAAACCCGAACCCTGAAGCCTAAACCGTATATTGTCCTCTCAAGGAATAAAGGGCGCCGAATTTCCAAATATCACCAGAAGGCACCGACTTCCCAAAGTCTAAACCGCAACTAGCAAGTGAACTCTACCTGGAACCCGAAAATACAAAAAACGTGATGCTTGAGTTTCTTGTATGTAAAATCTGGATAACTTAACCCTAAACCCTAAACACTAAACCCTAGACCCTCCTCCTTTTAAATCTTAGACCCGAAGCTCAACCCAACACCCCAAACTTGGAAACACTAAACCGCAGCTATACGTCTGGAACCCTAGGCCTGACCCATAAACTCTACACGATGTCCCTAAACCCTAAACCGTTCCGTACAGAAACTTTATAGGGTTTAGGGTTTAGGGTTCAGGGTTTAGGGTGTAGTAGCTGTAAGACGCTGCCGAACCCATGTCAGCATCTATTGACAGCACTCCGAAACGGAGCTGGAGGACGGCAGGCTGTTCTGGTCTTGGTGCCCCTAAACCCCAAACCCTAAACCCTAAGCTCGTGTGTATGCAGGCTTGGGCAAGTTTCCCGTATGGCAGTCTGTCCTGTACATACAGATTCTCTAGCCCCAAGAGTAACCTAGGAACAAAAAGGGGGTGCCCTTTTGGGCTTAAGTTATAAGGGAACCTACCTAAACCTGAAAAAAAGAGAAAACGCGCCTACTCTGGGTCCTAGTCCTTATCTCAAGAGAACTGAATGAACATTGGCGGCACAGGGGAACAACTACCTGTAAGCTGCAGCTGCTGTGCCGAAAGTCCCGCTGCATCCTTGTCAGTCCTCGTCCATCGGGAGTAGGAGCAACTCACCATCCCAGACCGAAGCACCTTCGACCTTTCTGGAGGCTTCGGGGCTTTACGTTTGACAGAACAAACCCAAGCCGAGATCTGGCACACAACAAAAGTGGAGCCATAATAAGGAACAAACGTGGCGATGCCACCACAAGAAAAATGCGACAAACATCAATCGAAACAACAGAAGGAGGACAAGCAAAACAACATGAACACAAAGTCAGAGCGAAGAGGGTAAATCAAACTAACCCGCCCTCCCAATCCTTACACCCTCAACCCCAAAGCCCCAAACCCTACACTACTATATGCTTAAGAACCCCCTCTCCAAAAAAGAAGAATGAGAGATAAACATCCCTGTCTTGCCCTTCTATGGAACATTGGTATGTGTCGCTTGTGTGATTTTTTTGGGGGGGTTCTTGAACGAATAGCAGAAAAAAAGACCCTAAACCCCAAACCCCAAACCCCAAACCCCAAACCCTAAACCCTGAACCCTAAACCCCAAACCCTAAACCCCAAACCCTAAACCCTGAACCCTCAACCCCAAACCCTAAACCTTAAACCCTAAGCCCTAAACCCCAAACCCCAAACCCCAAACCCTAAGCCACAGAGAGGCAGGGGCTCAGGCCAGCCGAAGGCACAGTTCGACTGAGGCAGCAGCACTCCAGGACCTCCATGCCGCTGAACCCCCCCCCCCCGCTTCTCGGAGGTAGGGTTTAGGGTGTAGGGTTGAGGGTTTGGGGTTTAGGGTGTTAGGGTTTTAGTGTTTTAGGGTTTTAGTGTTTTAGGGTTTTAGGGTTTTTGGGACTGAGGGTTTATGACTTCTGCTGAAGTTTCTGGGTCCAAAAATTCTGAGATGGGGGGTGGTCTGGGATGGCTAGCTGGGCATGGGGTCTTCCAGGTGTTTAGGCTTACAGGGTTGCGTAGGCTTCACCGCCAGAAATGATGTAAAAAAGAACCATGTGTTCCCTAAACCCTACAAACCTCGGTTCGCCGAACCCTAAGCCCAAAACCGTAAACCCTAAACCCAAAAACCCTAAGCCCTAAAAGCCCTAGGCTCCTTGAACCCCCCAAGTTCCCTGCATCTTCAACAGCCCCCCGCCCCCCTAAATCCCCTTAACCCTGAACCCTGAACCCTAAACCCTAAACCCCAAACCCTAAACCCTAAACCCTAAACCGCGGAAATCCACACGGCCGCTGTCAGACTCTTGCGCGCGCTGAGCCGCCAGCAACGAGGCGGATGCCATGGCCATGCCTGTTGAAAAATGCAGGAGTCTAGGATCAAATGCCTCTGAAAACATGTTCCTAGAATATGAACCCTCTTAAAGCCCAACGGGAAGGGGCTAAGGGTTTAGGGTTTAGGGCCTACCTCGGAGTTTAGATGTCTAGACCCGGGAGCTAGGAATAAACAGCGTACGCTTTTTGTTTGCAAGGGGATTATAAGGGAACCCCAACCCTAAAAAAAAAAACAAAAAGGGCCTACCTCGGAGTTTAGATGTTTAGGGGTTAGGGGGGTTTGGGGGTCTAGCACCGGCTTGCAGTGGTGCGCCATGACGAGGCAGGCTCAGCCTCTCACGAAGCTACAGAGAATAGGTCTAGAGGTCCAGGGGCTAAGGGTTTAAGGTTTTATTCATTTATTCATCCTTATTTCTATATTCTTTCCATTTTAGGGTTTAGGGTTTAGGATTTAGGGTTCGGGGTTTTATTTGTTTAGTTTTATTTCTCTCATTTATATATTTATCGGGCTTCGGGAAGATGATACTGATCGCAACCGTACTCACAAGAAGACTGAACTCAACTGCAAAGGAATGAAATCATGATGACACAAATAACAGTCAAAGATTGGGATGTTCCCTTTATACTAACAGTCCTTACTGGCAGGACTATAATCCCTATTATCAAGGACTGCTAGTATAAGAAGGAACACCCCAAGCCACACATGAAAACAACTGCGAGGATGACCAACCAAAAAACAGCTCGATAGTCGCAACCGTCACAGTGAACAAGGAGCTACGACGCGACGAATTTGAAATAGAAAATACCAGACCCGAGAGTAACCTAGGAACTACTTTGGTTTAAAGGGGCTGAAAAGGGAACCCAAACCCCCCCCCCCCCCCCCCCCCCCCCCCAAAAAAAAAAGGAATAAGGGCCTACTCTGTGTCCTAGAATAAGAAGAAGAAGTTCGGGGTGTCCCTGGCGCGAGCGATGCATGTACCGTTTCTTCACTCCGCGGAACCTGACGGAGATGCTTGTGGGTCTGGCTCAAGCGCGTGCGCGACTGATGTCATGGTAGGCCCCTGACCCTAAAGCCTAAACCCTAAACCCTAAACCCTAAACTCGAAACTCCTAAACCCTAAACCCCTAAACCCTAAACCCTATTTTCTGAATCAAACAAGAGTCAGGCGCATGCCACAGACACTGTCCTCTCACTATACGGTGAGACCTCGACTCTTGGAGGACCTGATGCCACTTAGGGTTTAGGGTTTTTTGGGTTTAGGGTTTTAAGGCTTAGGTTCAGGGCTTAAGGTTTAGGTTTTTAGGGTTTATAGGGTTCAGGGTTTATAGGGTTTAGGGTTAGGGCTTATAGGGTTTAGGGCTTACAGGGTTTAGGGTTTATAGGGTTTGGGGCTTACAGGGATTAGGGTTTATAGGGTTCAGGGCTTACAGGGTTTAGGGTTTATAGGGTTAGGGATTACAGGGTTTAGGGTTTATAGGCTTTAGGGCTTACAGGGTTTATAGGTTTAGAGGGTTGGGGTGGATAAGGGATACGAACCCCCAAAACAAGAGTAAGGGTACTGTGTCCTAGAACAGGATCCTGACCGGGTTTAGGGTTTAGGGTTGAGGGATCGTGTTTTCCCCAATGTTTACTCACTTACCCGACAGCAAAGGGCCGTCTTGGCAAAAGGTTGGCCGGAAACAGGTCGTCCAGTAAGTAGGCCAATGAAAACTGATGAATGCCTCGAGGAAAACGGTCTTCTACAATCATTTGGGCCTGTAAAGCCGAATTACGCCGTTCAGCAATAAACCCTAAACCCTAAACCCTAAACCCTAAACCCTAAACCCTAAACCCTAAACCCTAAACCCGCTCCCCTTAACCCCCAAAAAAACCTGGAGCTGGCACGGCAAGTAAGCATGCTGGCATGCTAGGGAGCTCTCTTCCCTGCAATGCCAACTGGCCAGTCACTGCGGCGTATGCCGCAAAAAGGGCTTAGGGTTTAGGGTTTAGGGTTTAGGGTTTAGAGACCTCCAAAGGAAGGTACACCCAAACCCACTTTGAAGGCTGCAGGAAGCATATGGGCATTTCCCACACTACGGGCCCAAGGCCCCCTACTTGGAGGTTCATCATGGGTACTTATGAGTAGAGCTACAAGAAGGGTAGCTATGGTTATCACCTTATTTAGGGCACCTTTCACCCCACTGAAAAGTACTCAAGAACCTTCAAGTGGTCCCTAAACCCTAGGCCCTGGACCCTGGGCCCTAAACCCGAGTTCATAAACCTCCAAACCCTAAACCCTAAACCCTAAACCCTAAACCCTAAACCCTAAACCCTAAACCCTAAACCCTGAACCCTGAACCCTGAACCCTGAACCCCGTCAGAAAGCACCCTGGGGGCTACCCAATGTGGGCACACCCTCACTCTGCCGCGGGCTTCTCGGACTCGGGTGGTTTCTCGGACTCGGGTGGTGAGAGCTGCCTCACCGGCACAAGTCTGTTTAGGGCTCCAGGGCTTTAGGGCTCTAGGATTTAGGGTCTAGGGCTAGGGTTTAGAGTTTCGACCGGGTTTAGGGTTGAGGGGTTTAGGGCTTTAGGGTTTAGGGCTTTAGGGTCAGGGTTTTGGGGTTGGTTTAGCGGCTTCGGGTTTAGGGATTTAGGGCTTTAGGGCTTAGGGTTTAGGCTTTCGGGTTTGGAGTTTAGGGTATAGTCCGGGCTTAGGTGCAGCGCATTGCATGCAAGAGCCAATACACTAGCACACTGCTTGGAGTGCCCACATGGAGCAGAATGGGCGCTGGCAATCGTGACCCTATAAACTACACAACAAAAAAAGGCGAGCACAGCCAAATGCTAAAGATTGAGGCTTTTGGCAACCTTGAATCACCCTCTGAAGCTGTGAGGTTCTGGGTTTCGGGTGCTTCTGCCATGGCGCAAGATTTGCTGAACCTCCTCGGCTGAGAGAATGCTTGGACCTTGCCGCTCGATCTGCGATGCTGGTTAGCAGGGCCAGGGTTTAGGGTTTAGGGTTTAGGGCTTAGGGTTTAAAGTTTAGGGTTTAAAGTTTAAAGTTTAAAGTTTGGGGCTACTCCTCAGCAGCTCAGAACCACAAGCACAAAACATGACACAGAACTGCTGAAAGCCAAAGTCTGAAACAAAAGGTTCCAGGTCTAAGGTGTTTAAAGTGCAAGGGGAGTTGGGAGTTAGGGGTTTCAAGTGGGCGGGCTTTAGCAGTTTAGGGTGTAAGGGATTAGGGTTTAGGGCTTTAGGATTTCAGAGCTTGGGGGGTCTACTGGCTGAACTCTCGAAACTCCAACCTAGATCCTACAAGGCAAAAAAGGACACCCTTCTCAATCCCGTACAACCACCACACCCCAACTCTAATCTCCCCTATTTTGGAGTAGACCCTGGAAAAAAAGGTAGATGTAATAGGAACCCAAAACCCCAAAAAAGTTATTGAAGTATAGTGCTCCAAAACCCAATCTCCCTTCCTTCGGAAAAATGGCTGAGTCCTTCCTCGAACACTCTTGTGTCCTCCCACTGCTGACGTGTGAGGTCGAAGATGAAGACGCCTGTCGGGACCACTCGAGGGAATCACTGTATGTGGTTTAGGGTTTAGGGTTTAGGGTTTAGGGTTTAGGGTTTACGGATCAGTTCCCTAAGT